TTGTGAAGGCATCAAATTTCTTTTTCAGAAAATAAATCCAAGTGTATCTTGTACAGGCATCAATGAATGATATGTAATATGGATAACCATCAAAAGATAATATGGGTGCAGGTCCCCATAAATCAGTGAAGATTAATTCAAAGGTTGAATGGTTAACAGTGTTAGATGATTGTGCTGGTAATCTGTGTGCTTTTCCAAGACAGCAAGCAGAACAGAAAGAAATATCACTTTTATTAATTGAAGACACATTACAGTGTTGAAGTACAGACTTAAGTGCCTCAAAATGAGGGTGGCCTAGTCTTAAATGCCACAGATTACCAGAAACAGGCGTAGTACATGATTTAGATTTATTACAGGTAGAAATAAAGGAAATAAGGTACATAGATTTATTTGTTGTAGACCCTATAGGAGTAGTTTGACTAACACCAGCAGATTGATATGACCCAAGAGGAGGAATGGATTGAAACTTGTAGAGACCATCGGCACCAAGGACTCATGTAACAGAACCTGTTTAGAAACCTGAGATTTGACATAGCAGTCATGAGGATACAATTCAAAGAAAGCATTATTATCTCTAGCAAATTGACTAACACTCGAGAGATTTTTGGTTATGGAAGGAACATGAAGAATATTATTCAATGAAAGATATTGAGATGTTTGATAGGGTGAAGGAAAGGAAGAAAAAACAATAGACTTTATATCCAAACTTTGACCATTGCCCATAAAGAGCTTGTCACTTGTAGCAAGAGGTTCACTTTGTTGAAAATTCAGTGGATCAGCTGTAACATGGTGTGTTGCTCCTGAATCTGGAAACCATTGTTGGTTTGATGGAATGGGGCCAAGAACAGAAGAGTTGGCACTGGTAAAGGCTGTAGAAGGTGAGGGTCTGGTAGAATGATGTTCCCAATTTCTGGAGCTGGAGTAATAGATTGCTGATTGAAGGAGTGGTCAGGAGGAACTGAAGGTGTGTATTGTTGATGTGTGTTTGGTTTGGATGTATAGGTATGTTGATGAGTGAACTGATGTTGATAATATGGATATGATGGTTGTGAGTTCCAGTGATTTGAAGGTCCAGAAGTAGGAGTGATATAAGCTGTGTTGGGATTAGGATTTGGATGATTGTAAGCAGGATTGTAACGATGGTAGCATTTAAGGCATGATGACCTAGTTTTCCACAGACCCGGCAAATTACAGAACTACGGCCACCAGAACACCCACTCCGACTTCTATTGAAACCTCCACGACCTCGTCCTCTATAGGGAGCACTATTATTAGGGTTGTTGAATTGTGCAATGTTCACAGAAGAGTTTTCAGAGGAGTTTGCTTCAGAGTTGTTGTTTGGAGACAAGGTTTCAACTCGAGCAACATTGGTAAAGAAGATAGTTTGTTGAGTTGACTCACGTAGCTTTTTCAGACGCATCTCTTTGAGCAAAAGTAAAGGTTCGAGTTCAGACACAGTTACCGGATCCAAAACGCTTCGAGAGGTTACAGAGGATACAAGAGATTCATATTCCTCTGGAAGTCCTTCGAGAATGACATTAATGTGATCCTTGGTAGATATCGGCTCTCCGATCGACATGAGATTATCGACGATGGTCTGAATTCGAAGAAGGTGTTCTGAAATTGATCATTCTCCTTTTCCAGTGTTGTAGAGTTCTGATTTCAGCTGTCTGGCTCTTGGGACAAGGTTTAATTGGAAGAATTTGTGAATCGCACTCCTCAACAGTGGATTACACGAGCATGGAGAGATTCAGATAGAGAAGAAAGCAGCCATGAGAATATCATCTTGTCCTGTTGCTCCCAGATGACATACACATCATTTATCGTTTTATTTTCTTCATCTTCACCATTGATAAAACTGATCAGGAATCTCTGGTTTTTCAACAAACTGGAACAATTTGTGTGCACGAATTACTGATTCAATGTGATGCTTCAAGAGAAGATAGTTGTTCGAATCAAGTTTGATTGGAACAGGATGTGTAAACGCTGCTAGAAATGTAATATTTCCAGTAGCTGGAGAAGAGGAAGTTGTTGAACTCGAGTTCGTCATGGTAGATCGAGCTAGAGCTCGGATACCATTGAAAAGGAAGAAGATGATTTCTCATTGATCTCAATGGCTAGTTCATGTCTATTTATAATACAGATGCTTAACAGACTTGTAACTAACAATAGACAGCTCTAACAGACTTACTGTGACAGCTAGATTATTACTAAGCTATTACAATAGGCGTACATATTAGTGTTCCTAACAAGTATGGACACAATTGGTCTCATGTCATAATGTGGATAACATGCAAAAGAAGAATCCCAAAATGTAGCGCTTGGCTACCCTTAGACAGGGGAAAAGATATGCCCGTATTTTTGTATGTGGTTTAGAGGAATAGACAAGATTATGGGATTCATGAGCTGTATGTATCTGACTTCTAATAATTTTTTAATAGTTCAATTTGTGACCTGTATTTATCTATCCATTTGACTTTTATTACTACCTCTGTCCCAATTTTATGGTACCAGTTCTTATTCACATGGTCAACCCAAATCACTCTTAATCTCTTACTTTATATATCAATTTTTTATCAAATTTGATTATGTTTTTTTGCGACTTTGTAAAGCTTTTAATGTACTTTCTAAATATGTAATTTTTTTTCTCTAAAAATAATTTAGGTGCGGGCAGGGATCCGTTTGCTTTATCGTATGACAAACATCGTAAACCGCAATGGTATCATCAGATTGGGACGGAGGGAGTACTAGTTTATAACCACCAACACCCTTGGCTTTTGATTCTGAATCAATAATAATTAATTATTCAATTATTTATTTTAAAAAGAAATTCACTTTTTAAGATGTGAAAGACTATAGGATCATTTCCAGCAACACAAGCAGATGCTCTTTTGTTCATATATATTGAGTATGATGTAACATTTGGATACTCTCGGCCTGCTTTGTGTGACTAATATTTAAGAACTACTCACCTACTAGTTTTGTTGTAACCAATTTAGGTTCTTTATGAATATTATCAATTCATCATATCATGTCCTTTACAAGAGTCTGTCTAGTTGGAGTTTTTTTAGTTGAAATTTTCAAGTATTAAATTAGTAAATTAATGTGCTGCTTATACAGTGATTCTAAAGAGTCAAGACTAATGCATTGAGCTATAATCATGCAACATTTGGTACTTAGTGATTTTAAATGATTTTTTAGTGTTACCCAAGCATTGGAAACTTTTTATTTCAATTCCTTTCTCGTTGAGCAAACTACTAGGTCGGCATGGACATAGTTTGCAACGTACAATTTGTTGAGGGTGCTTACATGATACCCCCTCTGCTGTCTGCTCTCAAATATCCATCCACAAAGGGAAAACTGTGGTTTTTAAGGTGATCACTAATTATTGATTTGGTCACAAACTGACAAACACACCCTAATTGATTTCTAGGTATTAAAAGTAACAAGAAAAGTGAAATAAGTAGGGGTCTAAATGGACATTTATTTGTGAGCAAAATGCATTTAGTTATTGGACAGTTCTTTAAGAACTGAAGGAGTAATTCACAAGCACCGTGTGGTACTACAATGATGTTAATGTGTTAATCTGGTCATTTTAATATTGGAATTTCACCAATGTTTACAGTGTTAGTACCTTCGCACCAATGTTTTCTGACTTAAATATTAGGAGAACCGTCAAATAGGTCCACATACTTTTAACAAAAAGTCAATTGCGTCCACATACTCTCAAGGAAGTCAATTAAGTTTGTGAAGTGATAAAAAACAACCAAATCGACGATTTCACAAGTAATTGACCGGTTACACGATTAACCGCCTATGCGGATGTCCCAAGTGGCGTTTTTTACTGTTTTCTAATTTTTCTTTTCCTTTTCCCTTTTTCTTTTCTTTCTTTCTTTCTTTCTTCTTTCTCCCTGCGAGTCAGTTTCTACGTTCTTCTCAAGTTTAAGGCCACCACCTTCTCCATCTCTGCCGCCCCTGCCTCCATACACATCGTCCCCGCGGCCCCTACCTCCATACCCACTGCCTCCGTGGCCTCCACCTCTGCCTCATCTACTGGAGCGACCTCCACCACCCTGACCTCCATAGCCACGTGCTCTGAGGTCTCCTCCTCCTCTGCCCCTACCTCCAAAGCCACCGCCTCTGTTGCCCCTACCTCCATAGCCACCACCTCCGTGACCTGCACCCCCGCCGCCCTGTCTAATTAGCCACCTCCCCCTTTAGTTTCATCATGAATGGCATCAATGTTGGGAAGAAAGAAAAAGAAAGATGAGATGAGGACAGAGCGAGGAGAAACGGAAGAGGCCCTCACACAAGGGGATTGATGAAAAAAGAATCATCATTAATGGCTAAGAAAATCAAAGAAGTAGAAAGATGTGGGGTGGAGGCCTGAAACATATCAGAAACGGAGAAAGAAGAAAGAAAGAAAAAGAAAAGAGGAAGAAAGAAAGAGCGAAAGAGAGAGAGAGAAAGAAAAAGGAAAAAGGGAAAATTATATAAAATTAGAAAACGGTAAAAAATGTCAGCTGGGACAACCGATTACCTGTGAAATAGCTGGTTTGATTTTTTTATACTTCACAGACTTGATTGAGTACTAAAAAGTACATGGACTCGATCGACTTTTTATTAGAAGTACGTGGACGGTGTCACGGTGGACCTGTTTGACATTTCCCTAAATATTATTGTATTACTACCTGATCTTAATTGTTATGGTACATTTAACTAGAGAGGCTATGGCTAGTCAGTTAAGCTACTCTTTTGTCCTTTCTATGAGGAATTGGAGGATTACTGACATGCTTAAGAACTGTTTTATTAATGGATCTCTGAATTGAGTCTTGCAATTTACCATTTGGGAATCTCACTGCTTAATGCACTTTCTTTGCATGCATTAGCTTTTGTTTACATATCTGAAACGTGTATTGACTATTGATGAGTGAGTTATCTAACTAGAAAGTTTTGTTGTTTAGTATCAGGCTAACCAGATATTCTCTCTTTTCACGCAGCTTGTTGCATCTGCCGATTGTGCTGGAGCTTTAGATGTAACCGATGATTTGCAGCATTTGTTGGTATATTTGCAGTTGGTCAAATTTCTTGGTTTTATATTTTTTATTCATTTTGGAACATCAGTTACTTGTTTAGATATAAATCCTGCTTTATTTATTTATGTAGTAATTTAGTTCATGCCCGACTTATCATTTCATGTCTGATAGGATGAGGATGAATTGGCTGGTCTACACTGCTTCCGTCACCTTCGTGATCAATTGGCTGCTTCAATTGACTCCATTAACAGGTTCAGCTGTTATTTGTTTTATTACTGCTATCTGCTTTGAAGTAACTGATAGCTGTGATGATGTAAGTATTGATTTATCTAGCTTAACTTCTCTGGCCTGTCACATTTTTTAACATGTCAAGCAGTGAACATGTTAGGCCAGGCCAGGCCAGGCCACACCCTAAACACGCCACACCTGTTTTATTATTTTAGGCCCGAGCCTGTCTTGACCTAAAGCCTGCTAGTAAAAGAAAATAATATTAATAATGCAACCAACACTAGTCCAACATAAAATCATAAGCATGCCACTCTACCATAGTCGTTAAACACTAAATAACCTGGTAATATGCAAGTCTTGACATTTATGATATTAATAAGATATTTAGTTGCAGTCTGCTTTGCCATTCCATAAAATAAAGCATCTCTAACTCAAATCAATTCATGCATATGGAGCTTGGGGTTGAATGTTCGATCCTTTAATGAACGATTGGAATATTGGTATTAACACATGATTTTAATTAAATAGACGCTTTAGGTGTAAGATTAGATCCTTGCTTATGAATAGATTTATACATACTATCCTCCGTTTCTTTTTTAGTTGCAACATGGAAAATTTTACACTATATACATACTCTACTTTGACTACATTTTATTTAATAATGTCATCATCATCATCATTATCATTACCCCAGTGCCGCAAAGGCTCCCACCTATGGTGGGGTAAGGGGGGTCGGATGTACGCAGCCTTACCTATGCACTAAAGCACATAGAGACTGTTCCGGATGATCCATGGTGAAAATCGCGTCAAAAATTGCAGGGACTGACCGTTGCTTCATAACAAAGAAGCGCAAACAGTTTAATGAGCCACTTTGCTTTATTCCATCATATTCTTAAGCCAAAAAATAGTGAGTCTTTGGCCCCATTGCAAATGATGGAGGATTTTATTTATTAATGTATGAGATTTTTTTTAAATATTGTGGAATTCGTCTCATTACAAATTTCTATAATCTGTTTTTTATTTTTTTACTACAACAACATCCAAGCCTTAATCCCAAAAGAATTCGGGGTTGGCTAACATGAATCGATCTATGATATCGATGCGTTTTATTTTTTTACTAATAGAGAATTAAATATAATGTCGGTCAAAGTTGTGCATTGGCAAGTGTGAAAATGGGAATGTTGCAACTAAAAAAACGGAGGAAATATATATTAACAAATTCATATAAATACGCCTCCTGTCTGGCTAAACGAGCTTCAAAATGCATCGTGACCTAGCCTATGTAAGTAATAGCCTTTAAAAGCCCAAACCTGATTTCTCTAGGTAAGAGGCTAGGCCAGGCCAGACCTAAAGCAAGTCAGTCTACCTGCCCTGACAAATCACTGGCCCATGACAGACTGCGTGTCATATTCCCACACCTAATGTCAAGGCTAATGTGGCCTAAGTTGTTTAAAACAATTGTGTGTAAAGGATATGGGGTAGTGGTTATGCATCCTTTAAAAGTAATAACATCTGTCTAATGATTCTTTTCAATGGACAATGGTTTCAACTTTCAACAATGGATAACTTTATTAGAACTGCCAAGCGCCTTTAGGCTTTAGATACTCTCTTTTCAATTAAAGCCAGTCTTAGAATATGGGGTCTTCTCCAAAACCCTAGAGGTGAGAAGTCTTGTTGGTAATGTTCGTCTCCTATTTAAATGAAACATTATTTGTAAGATTATTTCACTCTACGTCACACTCTTTAGAAGTTGTGAACTGTTGACCATTACTGAAGTCATAACCCTACACATAGCCAATTAGCCATTTGTGTACCATTACTGAAGTCATTTCTGTTTCTTTTTGGTTTTGAAGTATTTCTCTCTGGAAATAGCATTCTGCTTCATTTTCTTAATTGCATTGTTTTCGACCAAACAAGAGAAAATATGAACTATTTGAAGGAATACTATACATACTCATATATATATACATATATATATATATATATATATATATACATATACCTTGGTGTATGACTTAACGAATTCAGTATTGTAGCATTCTTTCAGCAGAATTTATGCGTACTTCTATACATCAATCTGGGTATATGGATGCATCAATAACATCAAAGTTTAAAGCTCGAGCAACTATAGCTATGAATGGGGATGATAATGAAGTAAGTTTCATACATGTTGCTCCTGGGATGCACTTAATATTTGCTGTTAGCTGGTTCATGCTCAAGCTTTCGGTTAATGAAGGACTCTGATGTTGTGTTTTCAATACTAATGAATTTGCAATTGACTACTTATCTAAAAGCACCAGCCTAACTTGTGCTGTTGTTATGAATACTTCCTCTGTTCTCTAATAATTGCAATGCTTTCCTTTTTCATCAATTTCAAAATAATTGCAACATTTCCATTCAGGGTAATAAGTTATGAGCAAAATGACGAGAGTAATCTTTCTACGTCCATTTAATATACTTCTTATGCACTCAATCTCTCTCTGAGTCAATCATTATCGACACACGTGGTACTTTTTCTCCTCAATATTACTCATGACTAGACCCTTCCACACAAAAAAAGGATGACTTACCCCATCCCTAGAACCGGATGGACAGCTACGTGGTAGGATGTAAATTGAGCATTGATTACACACTGGTGGAAAGACAGTGGAGTTCCAGCCCTAGTCATTGCTTGAAGTTGAACACGGGACCTTCCCTTGTGGCACCCTCTTTCCACTAGGTGAGCTACGCCCCCGGCAACCCTTCTATCATATATCTTATCCTCTCTCTTTCAATTTCCAGACTGTTCTCTTTCATCATTAACGCACCACCGGCCACCATGTATCCCTCTAATTTTCATTTTGCAATGCCTTACAATCTTATCTAGATCCTCTTGTTTCAGAATTTTTTCTCTTAGAGGAGAATCTCATTGGAATTTTGAATAGCGATATGAATATGCTCCTCATACTCCTCATCCGCTTAGGCACTAGGTGTTGGTCAGGCACCTGACTAGTCTAGCAGAATCCAAAATACTGCCCATACATTCGTTTTTCATTGTACTAGAATAGTGAACTGTCAGTCTCTTTCACTGGCTTACTTTTTTTTTATTTTTGATGAATATAGTTCTTATGTTCCATGTTCAGAAGGTATGCATCACTTCATTCTAAAAACATCTGTTGGTGGCTTGGTGTATTGCAGGTTAGATTGGATGAAGAAGAAAGCTCCAATTTCCGAGATCGACTTCTTCCTCTTGTTATTGGATTGCTTAGAACTGTGAGGATTCTTTAGTCTTCATTACATTGTTAAGCACTGAAGTATTAGAATACATGTTGTTTATCAAGAGTATGTAAATTACTCTATGAACTGGTACAATGGAATACGGATGACATATTGGCCATATTTGTGCTTTATCTCCCTTTGATCCCTTACAACAGAACAGAATTGTAATTCCTGAGAGCATTTGTGCTACAAGACTGAGAGGGATTTGTTAGGAGCAATATTTTCAAATATTTGATCTTAGTATAAGACAGAGAGTGGTTTGATTGAGAAGCATGGGCTAGTACATATTTTGTTGAAATTTGGGTTTTGTACTGTGGCTAATTGCTATTGGGGTGACTTTTAAAAATGTGACTTCCCATCCCATGATTTGAGGTGCATCAAACTCTTCACCAGTTTTGGACTCATTGTGCTGTGTCTAGATGGACACACACAACCTTAAAAATGATTCTTTAGCTTTTTTGCTAATACCGGGCCAAGTGTGCCATGTTTAAAATAGTCAATGTTTGTTGGGGAAATTCCACAAGGAGAAAAGGTAGATTGTAGATTAAGCATTGTGAGTCTACCCAAAATACTGAGTTAAAGTAAGTCACTGCTTAAATATAACAAGATCATTACCAGTCCAAAAGGTAACTATAAATTAGTCCTTTATGTGGTTGGGGTGTAAAATAGAACACTAAGTGAAAGGACAAATAGGATTGTTTAGATAACCACTGCCACCAAAACCTATGCCCTTTGTGGAAACATAGACACAATCTCTCTCCATCTTTCTTGTCTTGCAGGGACACTAATTTTCAAGTGGATGAATCACTAATTCCCAAGACCTCTTTTATTGTTTATTATTTCTCTCATTTACACTTTCTGTTTTTGACATTTTAAAACTTTATTTTTGCTACGCATGTCCTCAAAGGATGTTATTGTGAATTGCTAATTATTTTTCAGGCAAAACTCCCAGCTGTATTGAGGATGTATCGTGATACTCTTACAGCTGATATGAAAACCGCTATTAAGGTAGCAGTTGAAGAGTTGCTTCCCGTTCTTGGTGCTCAACCTCTTGATTCTGATTTTGTCACAGGAGAGCGAGCAGGAGACACAGATGGTGGGTGAAGATTTTCCTTTTCCATAGCTACTTGACTAAACTAGACAAAGTTAGTCGTCATAGAAGGGAATATGCAGTTTTTCTCCTACTAAAGAAAGCACAATTCTACATTCTGAGGAAAGCTCAGTATTACATCTATCCTTGGGATATGATGTGATATTTTATTTCTTTTTATTTGTTGGGGTGGAGTGCCTTGTAACTTGGAGAATGGGATGACCCTGTAGTTTTTAACTTAATCTGTGTGGTGGCTTAGGTGGAGGTTCATCGCTTGCAAGCAGGTTGAGAAGCTTGTCTCCTGAAAATTTTGTTCAACTTTTGAAAGCGGTTTTCATGATAGTTCAGGTAATGTATGCATGTCCATTTTTTCTTCATCATCCTATGGCTTCTATTTGTTGTTGTCATTTAGCATCACCCGAATGGTATTGGGCATTGCCTTTTAAATTACTGCATCATTGAAAATGGTAGTAGGCAACTTCTCGCTTTTGTAAACATTAACAGTATTCTGTTATTTTTCCCTGTGTTAACTGTCCATTCCAAATCCCACTTTCTTTTTTCCCAAACAAATGCATGGGAGAAGGCTGAAGGTGATGTTTTTCAAAGTAAAATCACGATCATGTCTTGCTCCAAATGGATGATTGTATTATTGTTGCTGAGCTGTTCTTAGGGATGACCGGATGAATCTCTGTGGTCTAATATCTTCATCTTTTAGCTTCATGGGTTGCAGCAGCTTCTGGAAAAAGCAGCCATTGCCCGCTTGTTTATATCAAACAATTATTTTTGCATGGTTATGCATTCTATTTCTCATAGATTTTTTAGATGATGTCTGTTGAGTTCAAAATAGGCTTATTCCACTTCTAAGAATAGCTTTGAAAAACAAGTGTTAGATATTTTAGTAGGATCGTGCATCCAAGCTGCATATTTAGGACTTAGGGCTCTGGATGGGTCCACACCTTCCACATGAACGGAAATTATACATAGGGATGCGTTTTGGTCAGAATTTCCTTAGTTTTTGCAATCTTCTTTCCTGCGGGCTGATGAAATTATTCTAGCAGCTTCAGTGACATACATAAACTTTTTTGGATAATTTTTAAACCTCCGTGCTGTGCTGAGTCTAATTTGTTCATTTTGCGATCTGTCTATTTCATTATGGGATGAAGTAACTTGATTCTTACTTCTAGTGAATGCAGGCCCACTTGGCACGAGCTTCTGAAGTTAAGAAAGCAATTGAGTGGATTATGTGCCATGTTGATGGCCATTATGCTGCTGACTCAGTTGCTGCTGCAATTGCTCTTGGGGCAGCTGCTGCAGAAACAGCTCAGGAAACAGATAATCATGCTAATTCTTTTTTGCCATATTCTATTCCAAGGAACAGTAGTAATGCTTCATCAATCCAAGGAAAAGGCAGTGAGGTGTCAACAGCTTCAAATCTGTCGAGAAACTTCAGGTTTTCCTGTGTCTCTTATTATACACTAGGGTGAAAAGATTGAGTTGCCATTTCAGTCTATGTCCCTTTAAGTATGTGCCTTTGGGTGGTTCTGTAGTTCATAAAATGCTACCCGTGTCAACTCGTACTTTTAATATACTACCTCCGTCCCGATGGACTTTGCCAAGTGCAAAGTAGGTGAGAAATAAGAATAGTAAAAACTGTGTGGTTGAGATTTGTGCAGAGGAGAGAGAAATGTGCAGAACCACAAATTAGTTGCTTTAATATGAAAAGTGTCAAAGTTTTTTGGGACAACCTAAAAGGAAAAATTGGCAAAGTCCAATGGGACGGAGGGAGTATAAAATAGACTTGTTTTAATTCAAAATTAGATCAAACTACACAAAACAAGAAAAAAGCACAGAGCAAATGCAAAAGCGCCCTCTTCAGTCTGACAAAGAACCACACCCTGCAAAGGGCAAGAAGGTTTGCAGATTATGTAGAAAACTTGAAATCTATACTGTAATGGTTTAGTGTAGCTAACATCCATGATTTATGACTCATACGCAAAATCAGAAACCACATCACCAGCCATTCTAGACAAGCCGCCATCTTAATCGACAATAGATCCAGATTTCCATTGCAAACCAATTTCCATGTGAGAAGGCACGACCACCCTTTTAAATCTGTTCCACGCCAGCATAATGATACGAGCACCGACACCAATGAGCCTTCTTCAATGATTGCACGCCATTCCATGACCTGACAACCCCCTCCGGCCCCACCATTCAAACCTGCCTCCACAAAGCCAAACGCGTGACACGTTCCCATCCAGGTAAATAATTTTCTACGCGAGCCTGCCCAACATAATCCATTCCTACTCAGTGCTTTGACTCAGTTAACAAGTCCACTAAATCATCCTCATCTAGCGACAAATGCTCTAAAAATATCTCGAGATCCCTTTCCATAGTCATTCGCCTGCCGGTGCCACTCGATACCAAGCCAATCCTAGCCGAAAAAGATTGGGAAAAGTAACCCTAGAAACAAATCCAAATTTGCTGCTCCAGCCCATATTTGTAGAAGTATCTTCTACCTTGAACAATGAAACAAAGATAAATATGTGAGAATTTGTTACAATTTCTGTCAAGTCAATTCCAATTCATGCATGAGATATATGGAAATAGTCACAATTTGTTGCACTGCAGTCAATTCCATGCCTCTTTACTGTAGTTTTTTCTCTCTAGCTATTTTTTCAATTGTTGCATGAAAAATTGCCTCTACCTCCAAAAGCATCCATGTCCTGAATGCTTTGTATAACTCTAACCGAACTCGGTATTTTAAGTTGTGGCTAAGATCTGTCCTTATGCTAAGGATTAGTAGTTCTGAGTTGTGAGGAGTAATTTCTCTTTATTAGGGTTATTTCAGGGGTCATTTTCATAATTCTCTGTTAATCAACTCCGCCTAAGAGTTGGGATGTTGCCACTTGCTCCCATATCGTTCATCCTTGTAAACGTCAAGCAAAATAGGTCAGATGTAGAAAATTCTGAAAGATGTGGATTCTTGCTGCAGTTTTCAACTTCTAGCACTTTTGTTGTTTAAATCTTATAAACGGGCAGTGCCTATCAAGAATCGGTAGGCATGATGTGTAATTATATGACAATGTCTTCTTTTTCTTTTGAGCAGAGCTGATATTTTAAGAGAGAATACAGAAGCTGTATTCGCTGCGTGTGATGCTGCTCATGGGAGGTGGGCAAAGATCCTTGGAGTCAGGTCTCCCATTCATCCAAGACTACGATTGCAGGAGTTTCTCAACATATATAACATAACCCAGGAATTCATAACTGCAACTGAGAGGGTATTTTGTTTGATTCTCTTAGGATGTTTTTACCTGGATTGTTTTCAGTCCCAGACCAGACAAAACTTGGATAGTTACACAGAGACCAGACCTGGATAGTTACAGAGACCAGACCTGGATAGTTACACAGAGACCAGACCAGATCAGAAAATTTCAGTACAATTATAAACATCCTTATTATGATGACATTGAGATTTTAAATATACAGCCTTATGATGTTATTTATGCTAACAAATACAGATTGGTGGAAGGTTGGGGTATAGCATACGAGGAACACTACAATCGCAGGCTAAAGGTTTTGTTGAATTTCAACACGAGTCTCGAGTTAGTAACCTTTCAGCTCTATTAAGTTTTCCCTGGTTTTGAAGGTTCGACCTGTCCTCATGAGCTGATTGTTTTGCTGATTATTTCAGATGGCAAAAATGAAAGCAATACTTGATCAGGAAAACTGGGCTGAGATTGATGTGCCTGATGAGTTTCAGGTCATAGTCACATCACTGTTTTGCTTTGAATCTTTGGCTACAAGTGAGAACACTACAGCCAATGGTGCTGTTACCCCCGGCAGTGAAGGTTCCCCTACAGATGCGAAGGTCTCAAATTCATCTCAAAATATGGAGCAGCATGGTTCTGTTGCAGTGCCTATGGATAATACATCAGGAGGTGCATCATTATTAAGAACTGAAAGCAGACATACAGACCCTGAAAGTAATGTGGCACAAAGTTCTGAATCTAACTCAAGGCAACATGCAAAAGCTTCACCTAGAATGCTTTTTTTCCATGGAATAGGATATCACATGGTTAACTGGTGAGTAGTTCAATCATTTTCAGTCTCATGACCAGCCCTTTAATCTCTTTCGTGTGTCTCTGTGTAGTGGGGATGGGCTTTGGCTGTTCCACCTTCTCAACCAACTTTGAGAGCAATGTGTTATTTGTTTGATCATGTCATCCTCTCCGATTTGAGCTGTATTTCCTTGTCTTTACTAAAATTACTCATCAGGTAAGATAAATATTAATTGTTTCTTTTCAGTGGGTTGATTCTGGTGAAGATGATTTCTGAGTATATTGACATGAATAATAGTATGTCGGGACTTTCTTCAGAAGTTGTTCATCGTGTTGTTGAGATCTTGAAATTTTTCAATACAAGGACTTGTCAACTTGTTCTTGGTGCTGGAGCTATGCAGGTAGATAGTGTGTTATTGATTGGTGACTTGCTATATATTCTTTACATTGCTATCATATGTATTGGTGACTAAAAAGTAATAAATGTTGATACGATTGGATACTCGTGGCTGTGATGGACTTCTGTCCATTGTTGTGTTCTTATTGAACAATCATGGTCATAATCACTGTACTTTCTCCTCTTCTTTCTTTCAACCTTACCAGTAGGTGTATAAAATTTGAGGTGGGTAAACATGTCTGTAGAAGGACATGTTTTGAAGTCCTTGACCTTATGTACCTTATTTCGAGGTTTCTGGTGTACCAATTCATAGTATACTAACTAGCCAGTCGGTATCCTAAAGACATTGTTACGTATTAAACACTTTGGACTATTTTACTTTTTGTACTAACAATTAGAAATTTTAACCCCATAGTAGCTATGCAAAAGCCTTTTCCATCATTTGCAATGGAGCCAAAGACTCATTATTTTTTGGCTTGGGAATATGATGGGATAAAGCAAAATGGCTCACTAAACTGTCTGCGCTTCTTTGTTATGAAGCAGCAGTCAGTCCATGCAATTTTCAATGCGATTTTCACCATGGGACATCCGGAAACAGTCTCTCTATGCTTTAGTACAGGGGTAAGGCTGCGTAGATCCGACCCCCCCTTACCCCACCGTAGGTGGGAGGCTTTGCGGCACTGCGGTAATGATGATGATGAGTAGCTATGCAAAAGCCACACCTCATGCTTCTTATGAAGGATTTAAAAGAAGGAACTGTTTAGTACAGTTTGTTTTGTCCGTAACCCCGTATTGTTCGCAGAGATGCAACAACAGTAAAACACAGAGCCTTAATCCCAAATCAACAGGGTTTTCTGTTTGTTTAGAAGAAATATGGGTGTAATAATCTTCAGTTAAGCCTTCACAAGATTCCCAAGATCTTTGTTGAATTATTCTGGCAATAGATTGGTAGAGGTAGATCTCGTTGAGGATTTTGGAATTTATTTATTTGGATTTAATGGATCTTGTAACCTTTTTATACTAGCTTCAAGTCATTTGCATTTATTCTTATTTCTTAAAGCTAACTGAAATAAAATTTGCAGGTCTCAGGTTTAAAGTCTATCACTTCTAAGCATCTGGCTTTGGCAAGTCAAGTGATCAGTTTCACATACGCTATCATACCAGGTATGTGATGCAATATTGATTAGCCTGTTTCTGATAGATTTGTTCACTTTGACACACACACATGTATGCGTTGCAGTGTACACATATGTGCATGTTACTTGTCTAGCCATTCTATGTGACACTGTAGTTGGTTTCTTTCCCATTGGTGCCCATTTTCATGCATTTTAGGATGCTCACCACCTGAGTTTTTGGGTGTTGCTTGGTCGTCTTTATCTCTTGTCGATTTCCCTTTCTCATGCTCAAATAGTCTCAAATTTCACAATTAGTAGACTCCTGTTGGTCTTGTCCTTGGTTTGGAGAATATTATGCATTGGAGTTTTTTCAAATATCTGATACGGATACTTGCATATTTTTTGTATTCCTGAAGAAGTCAAGAGGGTGCTATTCCTTAAAGTACCTGAAACACGCAAAGGTCTGTTGATGTTAGAGATTGATCGTGTAGCACAGGTAAGGGAAATTTTTCTCATTCTCCCTATTCCACTATTTTCTTTCTAGGCAGTTTTCTACTTAAATGATTACAGGGGTAAAAGGTTATGAACTCAACTGCTTCTTATTTGTGGACTTTGATATGGGTTTTGCAAGTCAAAGTATCATTGATAAACTGATTTTCTTGTCCTTATTGGTATAAGTTATTTTTGTGTTTGCCCAAGTCCTTCAGTTTGATGCTCATGCTGTTATAATTGCTTATGTTATACTTGCATGCATCCTCTGGGGCATCACACCGGTACCTTTCAAAATGACTTTTTTAAAAAGTGCTTTCTTAGGAAAAATGGGCCAACTTTAAAAAACTCGTATATTGTGCTCCTGGCATGTAAAGACATTGGTTGTTTACCAACTTTTTTCCACTTATGTTTCATTAGATTCTATCTGTTTCATTCGGAATATGCTTTTATCTCAGATCCTCATGTCAAATATCTTCTTTCTGATATAAAATTGGTTAAATTAAAGTAATGTAATGCATAACAAACTACACATACTATCTAATATCAATATTGAACCTCCACATTTCAAGGTTTTCTAATTCAAGAGCGGAAACCAAAGGATAAATAATGGTTCTACATGAGTTGATTTTTGTTAATGAAATTATAGGACTACAAAGTACATAGAGATGAAATACATTCAAAGCTTGTACAGATCATGAGGGAGAGATTATTAATTCATCTGCGTGGTTTGCCTCAAATTGTGGAGAACTGGAGTAGGCATGATGACGCAGATTCACAGCCAAGTCAGTTTGCTCGATCTATTACAAAGGTAGTAACTTGGATGCTTTTATTTGAAACCATTTTGTATTAGCCCTTAATCTTAATATACCTCCTTTAAATAGAATTATAGAGGATGCTATATCTTTTGTGTTCTCAGTTCGTATTGTGTGAGTGTGTGCAAATTGAACCAGATAGTTTCATGATCAATGTTAAATGTAAAATTGGAGTGGTATTCTAGATGTATTATTGAAATTATTGTGGATTAATTGGTGCTTACTGCTTAGTCTGCTTTAAAAAGCATTACATTTTTTAACTATTACGGAGTATTTTGTTTTCATTTGAATATGTCCTTTTCAACGTGATAGAGAGCAAGAAGAATCTGGGGCGGGAACGGGATTGGGCTCACTTCCGTGGGCCGGTTCTGGGCTAGGGATTATAGTTTTATTTATTTATAAAATTTATCATTATGTTTTAGTTGGGACTATTATTAGTAGAGTGGTTAGTTAAGTTAAATTGGGCTTAATTAGGGTTTAAGTAATTTGGGCTTGATTAGGGTTTCTTGTAGAAGCTATTTATACCCCTTGCTAGGGTTCATTCTGATTATCTTGGAATAAAGTTAGAGTTTAGCCTTTTGGCTTTGGGCAACGGTATTTTTATCGTTGATTATCTGGGCAACGGTTCATCCCGTTGATTTTATTTTTCTGTTACACATTAATTGGTCCGACCTGCCGGATCCCGTCCCGCCAAGATGACCAGAACTCAGAATGAACGCTTGACAGAGATGGAAAACGAGCAGAACCGAATGGGAGAGGAAGTGGCCCGACTGGGGGCTGAGCAAACCCGGATGGCACTCGAGCAGAAGCGCAGGAACCAGACGCTCGAAGACCACGGTGCAAAGCTGGCGGAGATCGTCGCCTCCCTGGCAGCGCTGACGCATGCCCTTGTGCCGCCGGTGTCACCGGAAACATCCACGGCGGCCGTCGGAAGCACAGCAGCGACCGCGCCCAGCGGCGAAGGTTTGCCGCGCACCACAACTCCAACCAGCGGCGAAGGTTTGCCGCGCGCCACAACTCCAACCAGCGGCGAAGGTTTGCCGCGCATCACAACTCCGACCTTGTTGCCTGCGTTTGATGGCGCAGATCCCATCGGATGGGTGGCCAGAGCTGAGCAGCAGTTTGAACTTCATCAAACCCTACCTGGAAGCAAAGTGGCAGCAGCTACGGTAGCCATGGAAGGGGCTGCCCTGTACTGGTTGACCTGGTTGAGGGCACGGAAACCGGGCCTGACTTGGGAGGAATTCACAGATGCACTGGTGGCCCGTTTTGATTCACGGTTCAAGGGCAACCGATTTGAACGGCTGTCCGGGGCCAAACAGTTGGGAACCATAGAAGAATACAATAACCTTTTTGTGCAGTTGGCCAGTCAAGTTCTTGGACTGTCCGATGATCACTATTTGGGGTATTTCATGAACGGGCTGAAGGGACCGATTCGGGGATCCTTACGATTGCTGCGGCCAAACAGCCTGGAGATTGCAATGGAGTTGGTCAGAGATATTGAGCACAACTTGTCCTTTCAAGATGGAGACTGGGAAAGTCAACCCTTCGACACAAACTTGCATTCGAGCAGTTTTTTGCGCCCAACTGGCAGTAAAAGCACGACCATAGGTGGTGGCAGCTTAAGAGGATCGAATGGCAGCTTTCCTAAAGACATTGGGCAGGCTCCGGGGACAAAGTCAGGGCTGTCCGGGCAGCCCACGACACGCTCACAGTTCACTCGACTTCCGCCGAAAGAGTTTGCAGAATTGCGGGCGAAAGGATTATGCTTTAGGTGTAAGAAACCATTTACACCAGGGCATGACTGCCCCTTTAAGCAGTTGCGGGTAATGATAGCTGAGGAGGATGAGGAGTTGGACCTCCAGCAACATGAGTACTGTGAAATAACTGGTCGAGAAAAGGTTCTGGAAGGCGATGAAGGATATTTTCCAGTCTATTCCATGGTTGGAAATTTCAGTCCTCGATTTGCGAAATTACAACCTTGAGGACAAGGTTATTTGAAGGGGGATGGATTGATAGAGAGCAAGAAGAATCTGGGGCGGGAACGGGATTGGGCTCACTTCCGTGGGCCGGTTCTGGGCTAGGGATTATAGTTTTATTTATTTATAAAATTTATCATTATGTTTTAGTTGGGCCTATTATTAGTAGAGTGGTTAGTTAAGTTAAATTGGGCTTAATTAGGGTTTAAGTAATTTGGGCTTGATTAGGGTTTCTTGTAGAAGCTATTTATACCCCTTGCTAGGGTTCATTCTGATTATCTTGGAATAAAGTTAGAGTTTAGCCTTTTGGCTTTGGGCAACGGTATTTTTATCGTTGATTATCTGGGCAACGGTTCATCCCGTTGATTTTATTTTTCTGTTACACATTACAACGTTTACTGTTTTTGCCTACCCATGTCTGTTTATCAACACGCTGGAAATTAGGAAATAGAATAAAGAAGTTCAAATAAAAAAGACATTCAGTGAACAGAACTTATCATTAATATTTTGTTTGATACACCGTTGCAGACTTTTATTAAACCTGTATTTATTTAAGCTTGATCAACCAAGACCCTGTGGCTTCTGAACACGTCTCTGTTCAGGCTTGAAATTCAAAACTGATATCATCCTACATGGACCAAAAAATTTATCAAGTTATTTCACCATCTGACATGGCTTTACATAATTAGCTGATTAGCTCATGGTGGGCCAGTAAATTTAGGGTAACCAATAAATATGAACAAAATGAATCAACTATGATATTTTTCACATGCCATACCGATGATGAATAAATTTGGTGATTTTTTGGTCTCCTTAGCTTTATCCTTCGTAACAGCGTTTCACTAGGATGTGAATGCAAGACTTGAATAATATGGAAAGCCTCACTCTAACTTTCTAAGTAAATACTCCCTCCATCCCACAAAATTCTTCCCACTTGCCATTTTGGGATGTCCCAAAAAATTCTTCCCATTCTCCTTTTTGGAAAGTTTTGTGTGGCTAACATTCATTTACCTTTTTCTTACTCAACCACAACCATACATTTCCACTTTATTCCCACTTTCTTAATAAGCGTGCCAAGTCAAACCGGGAAGTATTAATTAGAAGCACTACAGAGGAGGTGCAACCGTAGCACACAGAAATGCATCTAAGAAATCTTCCAACCAGACTAAACATCTCAGTATCCTCACCCCATCCCCCAAAAGGCAAAAATAAAACCCTTGAAGTTCCAACCAGCTTCCTTAAAAAGAAATAAATAATTCGACATTACCATGTAATGAGCTTCACACTTCTAGTCCCTGATTTTGCTATATTGTGTTCTGTACCAGCTTCAATTACATTTTCATCTTGAAAAATGGATGCTTTTGCTAATCTTAATATTTGTAGATGCTTTTCTGGCTCTATTAGCTTTTCCCAACATTGTGATTTTTTTTTAAGTTGCTCTCTTTAATTTTGTCACTCTATCTATGTTTGCCTAACTAATTTTGCTTGGTTGCCTATTTTTCTATTGAAGGAAGTCGGTCTTCTGCATCGTGTGTTATCTCGAAGCCTGCATGAAGTAGATGTCCAAACTATTTTCAGGTAAGATATTTGACTCACTGGCATGCTAGTGATTGCCATGCATGAAATCTTTTCGAATTGTCCAAGAGGGAAATTGATTGATTGATTCAACTCAAGCTAATCTCTTCTAGAGTTCTAGTTCTGATTGTAGGTGCTCTGACTTCTGAGTATTCTTTAAACAATATGGGGTATGTTTATTTTATAAGTTGTAGTTAACCCTTGTCGGTGTTGAACGGAATATGGGCAAAACCAAGAACTCCAAGAACAGTGCTAGGTTATTCAACTTAGTTTCAATTTTGACTTCAAAATATCTAAGTAGTCCTGGATGAGGCTTTGCATTTGTATTACAACCAACTACTTGTAGTTAGCCCTTGTCGGTGTTGAATGGAATATGGGCAAAACTAAGAACTCCAAGAACAGTGCTAGGTTGTTCAACTTATATTCAATTTTAACTTCAAAATATCTGAGTAATCCTATATATTCAATTTTAACTTCAAAATATCTAAGTAATCCTATATATAAGGCTTTACATTTGGATTACAACCAACAAAATGCTGAGTAAATCCTAATAGCAAGTGTGCCAAACTAGGTATATGAAAATTAAATTTAGTAGCATGCTGAAGCTGTAATCATGTGATTGTCTGTAGTAGCGGTTGCAAAATAGCCGGGGGGAGGGGGGCTGTGGCAGCAAGCTTAAATGCTAGATTCAGATTGCCTTTATCTTTTTCGTACAACACAAAGCTTAAAACTGTGTGCTCGCAGGCAAGTGGTGAAAATATTCCATACTCAAATCTCAGAAGCTTTGTCACGTGTTGACATTAGTAATTCTCAAGTGCAGAACCGGTAATGTTGCATCATAATCCTATGCTCCCTGGCTCTACATTTTTGCGCATTTGCTTATTCATTGTTTGTTGTTTTGTGACATTTTGTTACTCCATTCGATTTTGAATGCCATATGCAGAGTGTATCGTGATGTTCAACATATTCTCGGGTGTATCAGAGCATTGCCTTCTGATGAATTGAATAAATCCAATCCGCATAATTGGGGGCAGCTTGATGAATTTGTGGCGCAAAATTTCAGTGCAGAAGCCAAATCATAGATTTCTTGTAGAATAGCCTTTTGATCGATCAGATGCAGACTTCAATGGTGTTTTGGGAGCAATTAAGGAATGGCCGAAGCCTATGCGTCCAAGTTACACTAATGACGGGGTAAACTTGTGTCTTGTCCTCTACTTCGATTTTTACTTGTAAATTTTTGTCATTAGCCTCCCTGGCAGTCTATCCAGTGTTTGTATGGAAAGGGTTGAACTGAAAAGTTTATAGGACGAACAACAATTTAGACAAAGATGAGAAGATGTAGGGAAGTAGTGTTCCTAGTCATTTTCTGGATAGGAAAGAGCTACTGGGAAAAAAATAATCCTGAGTTACATTGTCATTCTTGATTAGGGGTGGAATGAAGTATGCCCTTTTGTCGAGTGTACTTTGCTTACAGTTGTTTATTTGCATAAAACAAAACCAGTTGCAGTTTCTCATGCATTACAGTGAATTTCACTATTGGTACCTTGACTACTTTTGATCATCAGCCGGAAGCCATCAATGACACTTTCAGTTTCTCAGCTACTCAAAATACAAGTCGTACCAAATTTAGTGCATATATCTGGGTAGTTAACTTCTAAAAATCAACCATTTCCTTATAGGGAAAACTGTCAAATAGGTCCTCGAACTTTCATAAAAAGGTCAATTAAGTCCTTCTATAGGAGGTTCTGTCCGGCCGTCGTGATTTGGGGCAGTTTCCGGTGGAATTTTTTGATGAAATTTTTTGAGCATCTTATTCACCAAGTCTAGTTTACTCATACCAAATTTCAGCTAAAAATTCAATCAGGAACTCATTCAAATTAATTCTTGAAGATAACTGCGCATTTTTTCGTTCTCGAATTAATTTGAATGCGCTCCCAATTAAATTTTAAGCTGAAATTTGGTATGAGTAAACTAGACTTGATGATTAAGATGCTCAAAAAATTTCATCAAAAAATCCCACCGGGAACCGCCCCAAATCGCGACGACCGGACAGAGTCTCTTATAGAAGGACTTAATTGACTTTTTTATGAAAGTTCGAGGACCTATTTGACAGTTTTCCCTTCCTTATATGATGCCAGTTGGACCAAGTTGTAAGTTTTTTTTTTTTGCAAAAAATCGACTGGTAGTGATTATATTAATCCTGTCAATTTTTTTTTGAATAGTGCTAGTTTTACATGTGTTCTAGAAATGGTTAATATCTCTTCCAGTCTTCCACATTGGTTTTAAAGATCTGACATTGAAGGTTTTTTGGATGACATTTTCCAGTCCTTGTTAGAAAGTCAAAACGCACTACAAGTGATTTTCAAAGCTCTTCACATTTGAAATAAGTTTTCTTTTTAAAATTTCAGCGAAAAGCACTTTTGCAACTGGATTCCCATTAGCTAGTGATATTTTAAGTTCTCCGTAATTTTTTTGGGAAATTTCCCGAAATAGGACTAAAACAGTTTGAAGATTCTAAAATAGGATTATAGGACCGTCTTATTTTTTATTCCAAAAATAGGATTAATTACTATCATGTTTAGAAAATACTGTCGTGTTTGAAGTCTGGTACTGCTAAAACATGGTAGTAATTAGTCTTATTTTGGGAATAAAAATGTGGCAGTCCTATTTTGGGCCTTGGTCTGGGGCCGGGTTGGGCCTCGGTTTGGGGTTGGGTTGGGCCTCGGTTCGGGTTCGGGTCAGGTCTTGGTCTGGGTCGGGCTGGGCTTGCTTTTTTTGCTTTTGAATTAATTCCAACACCCCATCCCCTAGGCTTGGACTCGGGTCAGGCCACCCGGCCCGTGGACCGGCCCGGCCTGCTACTGTGAGGGACCGGGACCGGCCCGGTTCTCTGGTCCGGGTCCGGGTCGGGCCTAAGCCCGGGGGGTAAGGCAGGTCCGGGCTCGGGTCTCAATTTTGGTGAACCGGCCGGGCCGGGTCGGGCCCGGGCCCGGGCCAAATTGAATTTTTTTTATTTTTTTTTTCATTTTTGGGGTTCCACCCGGGTTGGACTTGATGGGTAGGATGGGTTTGGGGGGTTTGGGAGGGTGGGGGTGAGGGGGGGGTTAGGAAAACAAAAAAAACAAAAATCCAAACCGGAGGCCCGGCCCGGACCCGGCCTGGACCCGGTGGCTACTCGGACCGGACCCGGTGGCTACCCTGGCCGGTCCCGGGTCCACCATTCTTGAACTGCCGGCCCGCCCGGGCCTAGGCCCGACCCGGACCCGGCCCGGACCCGAGTCCACCCCTACCATCCCCCAAACCACCCAACCCCCCCACCTAGTAGCCAACCTAATGGAAAATTAAAAATAATAATAATTTGTGACCGTTGGGCTCGGGTTGATCCACCAAAATAGGATCCCGGTACGCCTGTTTCTTCATCCGGGCCAGGCCTCGGGCTTGGTCCCAGTCCCGATCAACCGGTCTGGGATAGGTCGGGTAGTGGGCCGGGTAGGCCTGTCCTAGTTCATGGGACTGGACCAGAACATCTTTGAGGACCGGAATGGCCTGTCTGGTCCTGGTTTGGCCCTCGTCTCCTCGATGATTCTTTTGAGTTTTCCCCCCTTTTTTCCTATTGGCTCGGATATATAGTTATGTTATAGTTAGGGATTCCCCTCTAAAATGTGCAAGATGTGAACATGTTAAGCCATGGTACATTTGTACATGTTAAGCCATTGTACATTTGTACACATATACGAAGTACTCCCTCCGTCCCTTAAAATTTTGACATCTTTCCTTTTTTGGACGTCTCAAAAAACTTTGTCACTTTCCTATTTAATCAATTATTTTGTGGTTTCTGTTATTTCTCTCTTCTCTGCACAAACCTCAACCACACAATTTTTACTTTATTATTCTCCGTGCCGGTCAACTTTGGCAAAGTTTTAAGGGACGGAGGTGGTGTGTTACACTAAAATACTGGTACCATATACTCCAGGCCATACATGATACATAGTACTTCGTATATTTTAGAAGTTCTAGCTTTCTTTTGTGTTTTTCTTATTAATAATCAGGATACACGTATATATGTGACTTATATTTCCAAACTGGTAATGTTTCACTTGTTTCTCATTTGGGATTATAAACTACTACATACTCCCTCCGATTCTTAATTAACTTTACACTTTCCTTTTTGGGCCGTCCCATTTTAAACTTTAAACTTCCTTATTTACCTTATTTGACAAACAAATCTACACCAAACAGTGTCAAACAGTGCCAAACAGTGTACTCTACAGTAAAGTCAAATTTATTTCTTTAATATGTGTGAAGTCAAAGTGTAACTTCATTAAGGACCGGAGAGAGTATAATTTAAGATGCAAATGTATTTGAGACTACATAGGGGAGTACGACTTTATGTTTAACTTCCTTCAGTCCTTGATATAATAATATCGATCAATTCTACAGAATGGTTATGTTCTAATAAAAAGAAGGTTTTAGGTGACAAATGAGAGAATCTCAACCATTGAATTCGACTATATTGTAGTAAAAAACTTCATATTGCGCTAAAAAGTGCAGTCATGTGTGGTGACATTTTTGTAAATATTTTTGAAAATTCTGTTTTAATGAACATCGCAAAATGTGAATCTTAGTGCAACATGAAGTTGTTATTAGTGCAACACTATAAATCCAACGACTAAAATTTCTTCTCATCCCCCCCCCCCCCCTTCTCTCTTCCTCTATATATTCTCACCGGCCCGAACTGACGGGAATTCCCGTCAGTTCAGATTCAGTTTACACCCAAAAAAGTTAATGATCCCATTTCTACACCAGTCTGGACTGACGGGAATTCCCGTTAATTTGGATTCATTTCACACTAAAAAACAAATTTAATGATCTAATTTTCTTGGCTCATTAATATTAATTAATATTCTCTTCATTCTTACTTTATTCTTACTTATCAATTCAATATCAAGTTCATGAACCCACTTTTCTTAGTAATCACATCACCTCTTAATGTTCCAATGTTAGTGGGGCGGAATAGTAGTTTCGACCGTTATATCTTAATTTTTTTTAATGGTTTATATCTTAGATTTGTTCTATGATGGACCCCATACATAAACTTTTTTACTTCTAAAGTTCTAATGGTTAAGATTATTTCATCATAAAAAGCGCAACTAAACTTGTTACAATTTAATTTTACGAATGAACTAATGGTTGAACCAGGGGCGCAGAAGGCTGTGAGATGCAAGGGTGGACTCCAGTCCAACCCATTTTATTTTAATTAGTATATGTATAGATTTTCGGGAAATTTTTACAAATAGATTAAAAAGTGAAAATAATATCGAGTTTATCACTTCTAAGAATTTCTTTCAAATATAGACTACCCACGCGTTTGTTTTCAAAAATAGACCATAGACCATCTGTATCAGCATTTACCTACTGCAATGTTTTCTGACTTTTCTCCTAACATTTACACCTCAGGCTTGTTTGAATCACGTACTCCTCCTATTCTTTAAACTAATATAAAGCCTAGCTACTATTTTTTTTAGATAGAAAAATGTGAAATAAACTAAAAAAATTAAAGAAAAAAAGAACAGGAGTACGTGATTGAACTTATAGATGAAATTTGGTATACGTAAACTAGACTTTAACTGCGAAGTTATCTTTAAGAATTAATTTGAAAGCCTTCCCGATTGAATTTATAGCTTAAATTTGGTATGAGTGAACTAGACTTAATTAATAGGATGGTCAAAAAAAATTATCAAAAAATTCTACCAGAAACCGCCCCAAATGATGACGGGCGGACATAGCCTCCTATATAAGGCCTTTGACCTTTTTATGTCAGTTCGAGGAATGACCCTTTTCCCTTTCTTATATGATAGCTTCTTGCCGCCTCGCCACCAACTTCACGGGCGTTCCGCTTTGTACCCACCTTTCTCATTTTTCTCTACCACCGTTCACTTCCTCCTTCTTTCACTTTCTTCTTCACCACCCAATTCTGCTCCACTTTCACTCAGAGATGCAAACTTCATCGTTGTCATCCACTGTTCAAGTTCGAGCTTCTCCCTCCCGGTTGTAATGTGCCCCTTCTTCTTCTATCTAATTGGAGGGATGGTGATGAAGAATTGTCCTTTCTCTCGTTTGTCTTCCGATTTAACTAAAATAGGTGTGTCAGTGAAGAGGTTTTGTTGCAGCCATGATGCCCCTTTTCTTTAGCGTTGTTCAGCGAGGCTCAAAACCCTAAGGGGACTCCGAAGTTTGTAAACAGACCAATGCTTTCATGGTCTCATGGATTTAGAGTTTTGATGGAAGAAATGTAAATAGTGAAGTGTTATGCTTAATTTTGGAGACGTGGTTGTCCAAATCTCGGAGAGAGCTGCGTGTGAAATTTGTTGGGGAAGATGAGCAGTCCAAGGTGTATATGTCTAAGTTTGAATAGGCTATGTTGTTTTTACTATTTGTCAAAATCTGGAGTAAAAAAAGCCACATGGGCATACACGTCAGCGACTACCGGTGAAACTTGAAGGGAATCGGCTAAAAGAAGAATTGAATGTTTTTGTATAGTACGAGAGGTTAATTGGGTGTTTTAATGGTTCGAGGATTTGATTGACTTTTTTGCTACACGATTGGGACCTATAATTTTCCCATAAATAAATATATAAGTTTTTGTTGCGTACTGTTTGTGTTTATTTCTTTTTGTTGCATATTTTTTCTTTTTGTTTCCTTTTGTTGATATCTCTGGAATTTTTGTTTTCTTTTCACATATGAAAATTTATCATTTTTGAGATTTAATATAAACCTGCATAAGGCCTCCAGCGGGAGTAGTTAAAGTCAACGTTGACGAAGCTTTGGATCAGAGACGGGGTAAAAGATCGTGGGGATGGGTAGCTCGAGACGAAGGGGGGAACTTCCTTTGTGCGGGCAGCGAGGCAAGCACGACAACCTTGTCATCTTTTACAACGGAGGCTATGGCTATTCGAGAAGCAATTTTGCGAGCAAAAGAACATGGATAGTCTCGTGTGATTATTGAAACGGACGCTCTTCTAGTTACTACGAGAGTTTCAGGAGATAGCGAAGCTTCCTATCTTGATCTTATTTTTGAGGATATTAGACTTCTGCTTCAGGATGAAGTGAACTATTCAGTCAGTTATCGTAAACGATCCGCGAATAGCGTAGCTCACACGTTAGCAAGGGCTAGCCTTTCATATGCGGATGGTAGAGTTATTTTCCATTCAGTTCCTAATTGCATATTTAGCCAGTTGACAAATGACTCTTTGATTTAATTTGATATGGATTTTTTTCAAAAAAAAATATAAACCTGCATATGATTGTTTACTTTAAAGAAGTAGCAAAGATAAATAAAATCCTCCATAACCAACAAAACTCTGGAGCAACAATAAAACAAAAATAAGTAACAAAATGCAACGGAATGCAACACGATGCAACAAAAAAACAACATCATGCAACAAAAAGCAACACATTTAATACAACAAAAAACAATAGATTAAAGTATCACAATGATTATCTAATTCAATCTGGAATTTCAATGTATTACGTAACTTGGCTCCTTCACTGCCTTTTATCATTTATGCATTTTTTTAAGAAAAAAAATGCACAAAGTGAATACAGCAATGGTTGTCCAAGTGTATAGAATACCGTATGCATACTGAACTTTTAAAAATTTGGTGGAGATTTGTATGCATGTTGAACTTTTACAGAAAGAAACTTATCTTTCTCTTATTCAATAAAGCCAACAATTCCAGGGTAGAATACCAATTTCCTCATGGAGACTTCTATAATTGCTCCTGCATATACAATCTTGCTTGTGGCATCATTAGAGTCTTCCCTCAAACAATCAGAAACTACCTCTTGCTCTCACATAATCCGAAAATGTTTTGCAATCGGAGCATAGAGCAAGACCAGTGAAGCCAAGGTTCTCGCACTCTTTTGTGCTCAGTTGTTCCTCTTCAACCACTGCAACAACCAAGCAGTAGATTAGCACAACACCAAAGATCAACAAAGACCAGTCCATTTGCGTAGCTCTCTCCCTCTCCTTTTATGCATCTTTAAAACAATTCTTCTGGTGACTATTTCCAGCGAAATATCCTCTATGTGACCCAATTTTCAATTGTTTCAGATCGGTGAAACAATTGTTCAATTGTATAGCCCAGGCCTTGTCCCCTTTTCCAGCCCCGCCAACAAGAACAGTCCCTGCAACAGCAACATCCCAACACACACTTGAGACAGATACGTGAGGCAGCAACAATACCACTAATTACCAGAGCAAGAGTATCCACTAGAAAAGCACGATTCCACTAGATTTCACGAGCTCTGAGATCGGCCTAAAATCGTATAAAAGCAAAAGAGTAATAAATAGTGGGATGTACAAACTAGCAGAACCTTCAGATGGGAACTTATTTACAACCGATGAGCCACAAACCTGAGACAGATTCAAACCTCTAGCGCCTAATTGAAGAACGAGCTTCTGAATCGCCACTTTTGATGGGAAGATGACTTACCTGGGTGCAGTCACAGGCTGCGGCGGGCTCTAGAGGACATGCATCGGCGTTGGTTGTTGACCAGTGAACAATTGGATGACAGAGAGGGGCCCGAATCGTTGCGATAAGGGATCGATCGATCCTGAAAAGTGTGTTGACATGTGACCTCAAAGCTCCAATAGCAACTTGTCCACGCTGAGATACAAGTATGCAACCTCCCTTTCGTCAGATGTTGCCTCGTCCGCTCCATCGACAACAGATCGTCGTGGGAATATTGTTGTGGTGAGATAAGAAGGGAGAAGTCAGGGAGTCGAAGAGAATGGCGAAGGTTATTTACGGATGTCACAAAATCTATTAGAAGTGAAATAGTCCTCTCTAAAATCCTTTCCACTTTCCTTTTTGGACCGTTCCAAAAAAATCTTCCCACTTACCATTTTTGGACAGTTTGTGTGTTTCACATTCATTTCACATTTTTCTTACACAACCACAACCATACATTTCCACTTTATTCCACTTTCTTAATAAGCGTGTCAAGTCAAACCAGGAAGCATTTTTAGAGACGGAGGTAGTAAATGGAAAGATAAATCAATCAGGACATCAATGATATTTGATTCTAAAGGGGTAATTTGAGTTTGCACCTCATATTATTTTCTAAATTGGACTTTCCACCCTGTTTTTAAAAATTCTTTGTTTTTTGCACTCCATCCCCATATGAAAAGACAAAAATGTTCTCAATCAGGAATATGTTGAAGGTCAACATAATCGTTAATGGAGGAGCATTTTAGTCTTTTCATATGGGGTTGGGGGTGCAAAAACAAATATTTTTAAAAACGGAGTGCAAAGTCCAATTTAGATAATAATATGAGGTTCAAACTCAAATTACCCCGATTCTAAAAGGGATACCATACAGGTAATTTCCACTAGATTTTATTATAGCCCACCCCAAAATTATTCGTAGCCCACCTCAAAATTAAATCCCAGCCCACAATATTCAACTTACCAGCGCCTCCTAGCGAACCGGCAGATCGCGAAAGAAAGAAAATAAAAGAAAAACGGAGGCACGGAGCTTCAGAGCCTGCGACGAAGAAAGCGAGAAACTGTAAGCTGCGACCCTGCGACGAAGAGCGAACACCAAGCCATCAGCCGCGCCGCGTTGCTACGTCTACGCCGAGTGTCCATCCGTCCAGGGGGCTGCGTCGTCGGTCGTCCTTCCTCTCTGGGCTCTGCCTCCAGCTCTGTTGCAGGACCGCAGGTTCGTTTTTTAGAGTTTTACTCTCTTATTTTTTAATTTTTCTGAACTTGTATTACTCCGATAGATTGATTTTTAGATTTTTACTCTCTTATTTGTGTTACACTCCGTTAGTGGGTTAGTTAAAATCTAAAAAATAATCAAATTATTTTTAGCCGTTTAGAGTGTTAGGGTTAGTCCGTTAGTTAATCAATTTGATTATTAATTGAAATTTTCAGTGCATACTAAAACAGGGCAAAAGTTCATTATAAATTTATAATGATTAAAGATTTAGAATTAAATCTTAGAGAATGATTTATTGATTATACAATTGAAGATTAGCTGATTAAGAATGATTTATTTATTGTGCAACATTTTTAGTTTTATACATGTAAGAAAAAATTGAAGATTTCAATTGAATCTTGAAATTGGGAATACTTATTAGTTTTATGTACAACATTTTTTTTTCTTATTAGTTTTAGAATTTTATATTTTAATTCATACCAATATGGAAAATGTTTTTTAGAATGGATAATGAATTATTAACTTTATTTTTGGTGTAAAAAATTTATGAGGCAAACTTTATTTTATATTTTTTTCCGGTCCAGTCCCAAACAGTGTTGGACCCGGTTCCACACCAGGTCCACTCCTAGGCGGAGGTAGTAATTTCGACTGTTATATCTTAGATTTGTTTTATGATGAACCCTATAAATAATTTTTTTCATTTCTATCGGGTTAGATTATTTCATCATAAAAAGTGAAAATAAACTTGTTAGAATTTAAATTTCGAATGATCCAATGGTGGAAACTAACATTTAATGCTAATGAATAAAAAAATGTGTGGTTGAGGTTTGTGCAAATGAGAGAGAAATGGACATAACCACAAATATATTGCTTTAAAATGAAAGTGACAAAGATTTTTGGAATAAACGAAAAAAGAAAGTCGGCAGAGTCTAATGGGACAGAGAGCAATTACTAATAAATTTTTAAGCTTAAATTGTTACACAATTTGTAATTGTTTGAAAGGCAATATTCACTTTTTTATTTAAAACGGTTAAAAAGTGTACGTTTTCAAGTAGCTTCTGGGGCGCGTAGTTTCACGGTGGGGGCAGTGACGGGGTTCGTGGCCCGTAGTGGGGTTGGTGCGGACGGTGATTTCTCTGTGGGGAAGAGGCGGGGCTGGTGGGGGCTGTAATGGGGCTGGTAGGCTGTTGTGGGGGCAGTGGTTGGTGAGGGGAATTGTGGTGGCGCCAATTACTAGGGTAGCAGGTGGTAGGGTGGGTTTGCTGTGACCAGCTGTTAAGGCACCAAGTCACTGGGGTGAGTTATGCTTACAAGCGGGCTGGTCACTCTCACTGTGGTCACTGTTACTATTGGCAATTGTATCTGGAAGTGGCGGAACTAGAAATTAATTTTAGGGGCATACACACAAACATACACATTCATAAAGTAAAGTCATGAGGTAATCAAAACTTAATTATTCTCATAGCTTCATAAGCTAATCAAAACAGTGTATGATTTATAAGTAGAATTAGAGTGACTCTTTGTTTTTCATTGCAAATCGGACAATCAGCTGTTATATTAGCCCATTATTGACAACTTGATAGCGCATGTCAGTTTCAAGGGCGTTCTCTTCAAATTATTCATGGAAGTCTGTGTTACGGCCTGTTTGGATGAAGTGTTGAGAGGTGTTAGTAATGGAAGAGTTAGTAAGTGTTACATTAACACTTGTTTGGGATAGAAATTAACAATTCGGAGTGTATTGAGGTGTTGGACAATCCCTACCCTTTTCTAATTCTCGGCATCACACTTTTCTTTACCGCACCCTACCACCTGCTTGTCTGCTCCTCCGCACAGCCTTCTCATCTGCCTTAACCTTGTGTTATTCGAGATTGATTCTCTCATTATAAATATAAACAGACTTTATATATATGATGGATTGATATATGTATCGTTTGCACAGCCCTCTTGTCAGCTTTCATCTCACATGCTCTTCTTTTATTTGAATTTTTGAGATCTCACTTGAATAAATCCTCACCTGCTCTTCTTTTATTTCTGAGAACTTAAGTAGAATAAAGCCTCACAACCCTCACCTGCTTGATTACCTTGTGCCATGTTCTTCTTTTATGGTGGTGTATATATATATTGTATTATATGTGGCCGGCCAACTTTCATACTTGCCTGATTGTGTTTTGCTTATTTCTTTTATTTATGTTTGTTTGATTTTTCTGTTTCGTTTATTTCTGTTGTTGCTTTATTTGATTACTCCAATTTGTATTTTTATAACTTTTCACCACTATATGTGTTGGCCTGTTGGGTTGAAAGAATTTCAGAAAGATAGTGTAAATACGGAGTATTAAGCACATATATATCATTTCAAAAGCACAAATGATATTTTTGTAAATTTAAGTAAAACACTTCCTTTACTAACACTTCACTTTTTTAACTCTTCCAAACGGGGTTAATATATGCTTAACATTTACACTTACCATCCCTTCAAGTGTTTTGTATTTAGTACCGGTGACTCATTTAATAACTTTCTTTTTTGGCAATACCTTATTTGTAAATTGTAATGCATGTAAATAAACTTAGACATAGTAGCCGAATGCACAATTTGAAGCACCATGGTACAATTAATTAAACCGCTATAATAGTATAATTGGACTGAGATATTGAAGCTCAGGTGCAAACATGTGCACAGACATGTATATGAAAGATTGTGCAGTTTGTAGTTTTATACTGTAGATTCTAAACAAAGAACCACTTACTCCAGTCTTATGCTTTTTAATATACTTTTTATATTTTCAGAAGCACATTAGAAACCGTGTTGATTGAGCTCAAACTTTACTTATGAGTCAGTTTAGACTTTAGAAATGTTGATGAATATTTTTTTAGAGTAGAAATGTTGATGAATATTGAAACTATAGTTTAAGCATTTATGCTCTGGTTTAAGTGCTGTTCTAGCTTAAATGTTATCTAACTGTTACCTGATAATGCTATGCCTTTAGCGAGGTCCATATATCATCCTCAGAGAATGACTTCAAAGAGGGAGGCAGAAAATACTAAGCTAAGCGAGGAAACTTTGTCAAAAAAACCGAAGTTAGCGGATCAGTCTTCTCACTCATTCTCTCAATCTCCTCAACTTGCCTTTGATAATGCACTTCTTCCGCTTGCATCATATGATGATGATGATGATGAGGATGAAGATGCTGACAAGGGAGATCACAATTTTGTAAGAGGAAGACGGGGGGAAAGTGAGAACAAATCTGATAGTGAAGAGGATGACAATGAAGATGAAGGCAAGAACAGAAGTGGAGGTAGGCAAAAACGGATGGTTGAAGTGAGAAGGGACTGTCCTTATCTTGATACAGTTAATAGACAGGTCATTACCATTTCTTGTTTCGCTTATGAGTTTGTATATACAAGTTCTCTATCTTATCCTTCTCACACTTTTGCATTTTTTTGCTCTTGTTGAAATTGCATAGGTGAACATATCCTAGTCAGTCCCAATGGCTAGTTTTACTAATTTTTTTCCTTTTCCCTATTGGTCAGTAACCCAACGCCTCTTTTGAAACTCTTCACTTTGAAAAAATGATTTAAAAAAACGGGGACCAGACCAAGACAGGGACCGGACCGGATAGGGACCGCCGGATCATCTACCGAACTGGACCCGAGACCGTAACGGGACCGAACCGGGACCGGGTCCACCACTAGGCGTAAGTAGGCAAATTCATTGCAACAGCACTAGCATCCACACATTTCAAATTTGGAAAACTAGTAAAACTCACTTCTCCGATTCATCAAGGAAAACAGAGACATATCTCTTTTTTTTTTTTGGAAAATGGTTTGGTGAACGAATTTTCCTGTTTTCCTTTTTCCAGTTTTTCAGTTTTCTAGAAAACTGGAAAAGACCTCTGTTAGTAAACAGAGATTTCCAGTTTCAGAAATCTTGGGTATCCAATTTATTTTTTATTTTTTATGAGATGCTGAGATGGAATATACTTTCTTTAAAAATAGTGAAGTTTTGTGGTATTTCTTCTTAGCAACATTGTGACCTTTCATAATGTAGTGCATTGCTAGAAATGCATTGCATTTTATGTTTAATTATGTACTAATATGTAATGATTTTTGAATTTGAATATTTAGATTGCTTCTATTATTGGGTTATTAAAAAAGATATATGAAAAAAATTATGTGCAGATATATAACTGAAAGAACCTGTGCTCATATATGAAAAAAATATTTATAAATATATACTTATAATTTTTAATATTTACACGTTCCCCTCAAGTTTCCGTATCCTATATTTTTTAGAAATCATGTTTGTCGTGTTTCCCGTTTCCCGTTTTGCATTTCCGTGCTACTTATGTTATGATTCATATTTTGCATGTCTCCCTATAAATCACATATATATGTTTCCAATTAGTCTTGCTTGCTCTCCGTTCCAATTTTGTATTATTTCTTCTAAGCTCATGTGACACTGCATTTCCTTTTTGTTGTGCTTAATTATCATTAAAATGTATCATTGAACCTTTTGAATGATTTAGGGAGTGTTTGTGATTGTTCTGCTTCTGTTTTTTTTAAAAGCAGAGTCTGAATAAGCTCTTCAGAATTTGCAAAACGAAATAATGAAGGATATTTAAGAAATGAAAAGTTTAGAATGCCTTGTACACTTCTCCAGAACTGTTTTTGTAATACTCTAGCAGTGCGTCCATATAAATATGTAAGCACTAACAGGATTGATTTTGCAAACATCCCATTAGGTGCTCATATTCTGATTCATTTCTTCCACTTTTGCAGGTTTTGGATTTCGACTTTGAGAAATTTTGTTCTGTCTCTCTAACAAATTTAAATGTGTATGCGTGTTTGGTTTGTGGGAAGTATTACCAAGGAAGGGGGCCAAAATCTCATGCATATACACACAGCCTCGAAGCAGGGCACCATGTTTACATCAATTTGCGGACAGAGAAGATTTATTGTCTTCCCGATGGATATGAAGTTATAGATTCATCGCTTGATGATATTCGATATGTTCTGTATCCTAGGTTTGTTTGGACCAATGTTAATTGCTTTTATCTTTTTTATACATATTTACTTTTATTTCCCTCATGCTTTGTGATAATCTCTTTGGCTCTTGGCAGATTTTCACAGAAACAAGTTGAAGACTTCGATAAGAACACACAATGGTCCAGGGCACTTGATGGATCTGATTATCTTCCTGGAACGGTACCAAACTTGGATTTTATTTAATCGATTACATTTTCCTGCTATGTACTTTCATGATGTTTTTGCTGTAAATGATTATAGTTATTGCTACAGAATATATTATCATCTGACTCTATTTTTTCATGGCCAAATCTGTCAGGTGGGCCTGAATAACATAAAGGAGACTGATTTTGTCAATGTTACAGTTCAGTCTTTAATGCGTGTGACTCCATTGAGGAATTTCTTTCTTATCCCTGAAAACTATCAACACATCAAATCCCCACTGGTTCATCGATTTGGAGAGCTCACACGAAAGATTTGGCATGCCAGGAACTTTAAAGGACAGGTTTCTACTATTCCTCAACCGCAGCTTGTTAGATATACTATACGAATTGTATTAGTATAAGTCAGTTGTATTTCAGTTAGTTAGTTAGTTCAGTAGAGCTGTAGCTTTCTATAAATACTCTCTGTACTCTTCATTACAGTTAATGAGAATTATCTTCTTCCTCATTCATCCTATCTGAACTTCTATTATGGTATCAGAGCCATAGAGCTCCTTCGTTTTCAAGGATGACGAACTCGACATCTGATTCAGCTTCTTCTCACTCAATCTCTCAAAATTCTCCTATAATCTTTCATCATCCCTTACCAATCAAACTTGATTCCAATAATTTTTTGTTCTGGAAACATCATGTCAAATCTGTGATTCGAGCTCACAAACTTCAAAAATTCATTGAAAATCCTCAAATTCCAGATCAATTTATCATCAGTGATGATGGCGCGACAAAGACTAACAATGAAGATTACTGTGTTTGGGAACAGCAAGATCAAATGCTGTTTTCGTGGTTATTGGCATCTCTTTCGGAATCGTTTCATGCTCGTGTCATCAATTGCACTTTCTCGCATCAGCTCTGGAGTGAAACCGAGCATTTCTTCCGGTCGAATATTGTCGCGAAGGCTCGCCAGCTGAAATCCGAGCTGTATAACACTGGAAAAGGTGATCGCTCCATTTCTGATTATCTCCTTCGTATTCAGACCATCATTGATAATCTAACTTCCGTTGGTGAACCTATTTCAACAAAGGATCATATCAACGTGATCCTTGAAGGCCTCCCAGAAGAATACGATTCAATCGTATCTTCTGTCACATCCAGAAGCATTCTAGATCATGTTACTTTATCTGAGCTTGAATCTCTCCTGCTAGCTAAAGAGCTGCAAATAAGAAAGCTTCAAGACTCTTCGCAACAGACTATATTCTCTGCAAATGTTGCTCAACTTGAAGAAACACCTGTACAAACTGATACTGATTCTCAAAACTCCTCAGAAAGTCCATCTGCACAAATTGCTCAATATGACAATCCTGGTACAAACACTACCTACAGAGGTAGAGGCCGCGGAGGTTTTAACAGAGGAAGAGGTGGCAGATCTGGTGGTCGCAGTTCTGTCATTTGTCAAGTTTGTAGCAAGGTTGGTCATAGTGCTCTTATTTGCTATCACAGGTATAATCCTGCCTATACAGTCTCTAACCCTACATTACCAAACCATAATCCTACCTACACAGTATCTAATCCTTCATTACCACAACCTACAACTCATCCTTATCGCTCTTATCCTCCACAAACAGTTTCATATCCAAATTCTACACCTCATCCTCACAATAACTATTCTCCATCCCATCCTCATCCATATCCACAGTTTACCCAACCAACACCAAGCTATATTCCAAATCAGCACTCTCAGAATACAAATTGGGGGTCTACCAATTATCATTTTTCATCATCATCTCAAAATCAACCTACTCCAACTGCAGCTTGGGCTTCTGCAAACACTTCATTGCTAGGACCACCTCCTAATGTACAGAATTGGTTTCCAGATTCTGGAGCTTCACACCATGTCACCCCTGATCCTCTCAACATTCAACATAGTGAGCCACTTGCTACCACTGACAAGCTGTTCATGGGCAATGGTCAAGGTTTGGACATTAAGTCGATTGGTTTTTCTTCCTTTTCTTCTCCTTTTCATCCTTCTTATACACTCTTACTTAACAACATTCTCCATGTTCCTTCCATAACCAAAAACTTACCAAGTGTTAGTCAGTTTGCAAGAGATAATAATGTTTTCTTTGAGTTTCATGCTCATGAGTGTTTTGTTAAATCACAGGCTTCTAAAAAGGTCCTTCTACATGGCATTCTAGGTGCAGATGGTTTCTACAAATTTCAATCCCTTCCAGCTCTTGTTTCCAGTCAATCTTTGTCTCAAAATAAGTCATGTAATCATGTTCAGTCTTGTAATAATTCTCTTTCTTGTAATTTGTGGCATTTGAGACTAGGCCACCCTCACTTTGAGGCTCTCAAATCTGTAATGCAACATTGTAATGTTACTTCTACTAATAAAAATAATATTGATTTCTGCTCTTCTTGTTGTCTTGGTAAATCACATAGACTTCCATCCTTTCCCTCTACTACCATCTTTCATTCACCATTTGAATTGGTATTCACTGATCTTTGGGGACCAACTCCCATGTCATCTTTTGATGGATACTCTTACTATATTTCATTCATTGATGCTTACACAAGATATACTTGGATTTACTTTTTGAAAAAGAAATCTGATGCCCTTGATGCCCTTACTGCCTTTCAAAACTTTTACCAATATGTTCTCAACCAGTTTTCTGTTTCTATTAAATCTCTTCAATCTGATTGGGGAGGTGAGTTTAGATCCTTTACCACATTCCTCACTGACAAAGGCATCATACATAGAATCATTTGTCCTCACACTCATCACCAAAATGGTGTTGTTGAAAGAAAACATAGAACAATTGTTGAGAAGGGTCTGTCTCTTCTAGCTCATTCTTCTTTACCACATAAATTCTGGGATGCTGCATTTGAAACCTCTGTTCACCTTTCAAATAGAACTCCCTCAAAGTCAATTGCAAATTCAAGTCCATATTTTAAGCTATATGGCTCTATTCCAGATTATTCATTTCTCAGAGTCTTTGGATGTTCATGTTTTCCTTTTATCAGACCTTACAATAAACACAAAATGGATTTTCACTCTGAAGAGTGTGTGTTTATAGGTTATTCTTCCCAACACAAAGGCTACAAGTGCCTCTCACCTTCTGGGAAAGTCTATATCTCCAGAGATGTGGTTTTTAATGAGTCCAATTCTATTATCCCATTCCCTTATCCCATTCTTTTCACTTCAATTCCTCACCAGCCCTGTATCTCCACTTCTTCACAGTCTTTTCCCATAACCATTGTCCCTTCCAATTCCTCTTCTCAATCTAATTCTTCCACTTCTTTATCCCAAACAGATTCTTCTCAACAAGGTTCTTCTCCCTCTCAATCACAACATAATACCTCTCAATCTATCTCTACTCCTTCCCACTTACACCTTAATTCATCTCAGCCTAATTCTGTTCCCACTTCTTCTCCTTCACAGTCTACTTCATCTGCATCACACTCATTATCCTCTTCTTCTGAATCTAATGCTCCTCTGACTAACACTCACCCTTGGTTTTAAAAAGTGCGCCTGAGGCGCGCAAAGGCGCGAGGCGCCTCTAGGCGATGACTTCATCGCATCCAAACATCCCAGGCGCAGCAGATTCCATAAGGCGCGCCTTTTACCTCGCCTAGTGCCGCCTTTTGTGCCTCTTTGAAGCGTCGCCTTTCACGCCTTATGGAATATGTCCGCTAAACTTCCTTCAAGCCTTTTGGCGATTCATCCCTCTCGATTTCCAGAATTTTCGTAGGGTAATATATGTATGTAAGGTAAGGTTACTTCACTCCATCAACTCAAATTCTCAAATCTTCCGCTCCTCTGTCGCAGATTGCCATTTTTATGTTTTTTTTTCCGGCCGTTCTCTTTGTTTCTTTTTGTTCGGCTGCGTAAGTTTCTTTCTTCCATTCTCTTTGTTTTCTTTCTTCCGCTAGTCTTTGTATTCTTTACACTATTATTTTTAAAATAAATAAAATAATTCAAATTATGTAATTATATAACCATATAACAATCTTCCCTAAACCCTAATCCCAATCCGAATTTTATCAATTTTTATAAATAATAAATATGGTTTGTCGAATCTGTCAATCTGATTGTTTAACTTTATACTCTTGATACTTTATAAGTTTATTATATAATAATTAGTCAATTATATATGAGAGCTGGTTGTTATTAATAATCATTATATAAAAGGTTTTTTAAAAATTTACTATTAATTGCTTAGGATTTGAATTAAGTACTAACAGTTTATTGTAAATATATTTACTATTAATAGAAGTATTTTTTAGAAGAGTGCTTCATGTAGAAGTTGTAAAAATATATTTTACCAAAGATATATGGTTTCGATCAGTGAGGCGCATGCCTCGTCGCCTTGCGCCTCGCGCCTCGAGTAAATCGATGAATCGCCTCATGCCGCCTCACGCCTTTTAAAACTAAGCACTCACCCCATGCAAACCAGAGCCAAATCTGGAATTGTTAAACCACGACTTAATCCAACCTTACTATTAGCTCATGTTGAGCCCAGGTCAGTCAAGCAGGCTCTTACTTCTCCTCAATGGTCTGCTGCAATGAAAACTGAGTATGATGCATTGATTTCTAACAACACTTGGTCTTTAGTCCCTCTTCCTCCAGATAAACAGGCTATAGGATGCAAATGGGTCTTCAGGGTGAAAGAAAATGCAGATGGTTCCTTGAATAAGTTCAAGGCAAGGTTAGTTGCTAAGGGCTACCATCAGAGATTTGGTTTTGATTTTGGAGAAACCTTTTCTCCTGTGGTAAAGCCTATCACAATCAGAATACTTCTTACTCTTGCTGTATCTCATCACTGGCCTATTCAACAATTGGATGTCAATAATGCTTTCCTTAATGGAGATCTAAGTGAAGAAGTGTACATGGTTCAACCTCCAGGCTTTCAAGCAAAAGATACATCTTTAGTCTGCAGACTTCACAAATCCCTATATGACTTGAAACAGGCACCTAGATCCTGGTTTCACAAACTGACTTCAACTCTTTACAATGCTGGGTTCAAGCAAAGCAAGTGTGATCCTTCCTTACTTCTGTTTACATCTTCTGGCATCCTGATATACATTCTTATCTATGTTGATGACATACTTGTCATTGGCAACAACACTTCAGCCATCCACACTCTCATCAGCAAATTAAACTGCTCCTTCTCTCTTAAAAACCTGGGAGACGTTGATTTCTTTTTAGGAATCCAAATCCAGAAGCTTCAAGATGGAAGCTTACATCTTTCTCAAGCTAAGTATGTCAGAGATTTACTACATCAAGCTGGAATGACAGATTCTAAAGGAGTCATGACTCCTATGATTAGCACTTGCAAGCTTACCCATGAAGGGAGTGAATCCTTACCTGATCCTTCTTTATACAGATCTGTAGTTGGTACTCTACAGTATGCTACCCTAACAAGACCTGAGATCAGCTATGCAGTTAATAAGGTCTGTCAGTTCATGGCTGCACCTCTGCAAGATCATTGGAAAGCAGTTAAGCACATACTACGCTATCTGTCTGGCACAATTACACATGGAATTCTCATCAAACCCATTCCTTTATCTACCATGTCTCTACCCATTTCAGCATTCTGTGATGCTGATTGGGCCTCTGATCCCACTGACAGAAAATCCACATCAGGATCTTGTACCTTCCTTGGTCCCAATATCATTTCCTGGTGGTCCAAGAAACAATTGCGTGTTGCCAGATCCTCAGCAGAAGCTGAGTACAGAAGCATGGCTGATACAGCAGCTGAACTTCTATGGGTTCAATTTCTACTCCATGAACTGCAGGTTCCCTTTGCAGTTCCAAAGATATATTGTGACAATCAAAGCACAATTCAGCTTGGTCACAATCCTGTTTTACACTCTCGCATTAAGCATATGGAGATTGATCTATTTTTTGTCAGAGAGAAAGTTCAACTGAAGCAATTGCAAGTGTTTCACATTCCTGCTCAACATCAACTGGCTGATATTTTAACAAAACCTTTGTCTGCTTCATCCTTCATTGATTTAAGAACCAAACTTAGTGTGGTTGCATATCCAGCAAAATCACCCTAAGTTTGGGGGGGGAATGTTAGATATACTATACGAATTGTATTAGTATAAGTCAGTTGTATTTCAGTTAGTTAGTTCAGTAGAGCTGTAGCTTTCTATAAATACTCTCTGTACTCTTCATTACAGTTAATGAGAATTATCTTCTTCCTCATTCATCCTATCTGAACTTCTATTACAGCTTGATGCAATAGTTTGAATGTGTCCTTAATATTGTGGTTTTTGCAGGTCAGTCCACATGAGTTTTTGCAAGCTGTTATGAAATCAAGCAAAAAACGTTTTCGAATTGGTGTGCAGTCCGATCCTGTTGAGTTTATGTCATGGCTTCTTAATACCCTGCACAATGATCTCAGAACTTCAAAGAAAAGCAGCAGTATAATCTACCAGTGCTTTCAGGTATAGCTCTATTGGATGGTCCTTTTTTCGTCCCTTTTTATTTTTCTGTTAGTCTAATTTTCTGATGGTGCATCATTGCAGGGTGAGGTGGAGGTGATGAAGGAGATGCACAGTAGACACTTTGCAGAGAGTAAAGATAATGGACATGTTCAAACTAATGGTGGTGCTGGAAGTGAGGCAGTCAATTTTTTCACTGAAACAAGTAAAATGCCTTTCTTGATGCTAGGACTTGATTTACCTCCACCTCCTCTTTTCCAAGATGTCCTGGAGAAAAACATTATTCCTCAGGTTTGAGCTCATAGATATTCTACTTTGATCATCTTAAAAATTTGTTTACTAGCACGGTTATTCTGCTGCAGAGTTCATAAGCTGTTCCTTTATGTAATATTAATAATATTTTCTTTTGGTGTATTTCACTCTTTTAATGCAAATTCACTGGTATTCTAATGTAGGTTCCATTATTCAATATACTTAAGAAGTTTGATGGTGAGACTGTGACGGAAGTTGTAAGACCTCGTATAGCTAGGATGCGATATCGTGTGACAAAACTGCCGAAGTATTTAATTCTGCACATGCGCCGATTCACAAAAAACAACTTCTTTGTGGAAAAAAACCCAACTCTTGGTAAGTATATTTTCAATTAATTACACATTCTGGATCAGGCATCTAATTTTGTGTTGCTTGGTCAATCATGAATTCTGGTGCACCTCTGCAGTTTTATTTAATGTGAAGATAAAGACACGAGGATAAATTCCCTGCTCTTAGATAAATTTGTTTTTGTTGACACATAACCTTACTTCACCTGTAGATCTCATGCTCTCTATTATCATAATCATGTCATATGAGTTTACTCGTAAGGTTGGAAAATATCTTCTTATCTATACATAAAATTCGTGCAACCTTACTCTTTCATGGAACACAATCTTTGAGTACCTTCTGAATTTGGTCTATTTGAGCAGATCCCTTGAGATTTTTTTGAGGATGTCTCATTTTTCCCATTGGAATTCATTCAGTACTACCAGCCCACCACTCCAACTACTGTGGTCATTCATAAACACTTTTCCTTCTGCTGCTGGTTTTGCTATTATGATTATATATGTGTGTGTACATATGTTGTGCATGTATGTACGCGCGTGTGTACGTACAGAAATGCCTAGGTCAGAACTTCGAGACAGAAAGCTATCAGAACTTTTATTGTTGGCTGTCAAATCCAGGATGGGCATTTATTAGTGTTGAAATGTGACAGTCAAAATCAAAAGTTTTGACAGATGGGAAAAGTTTGGACCTGAGCATTCCTCTATTAACATTTGTATGCAGTACACGGTACTTATCCTTTTTCTTGTATCAGTAAATTTCCCTGAGAAGAATCTAGAGCTGAAGGACTATATCCCTCTTCCATCACCACCCAAGGACAATGAAAAACTGTGTTCCAAGTATGACTCGTATGACCTGATAGCGAACGTCGTTCATGATGGGAAACCCGGGGAAGGATCCTATAGGGCTTTTGTACAGCGCAAGTCCGAAGGACTATGGTTTAACCTTACCCCCCGTCTTATTTGTACAGCCAGTCCTTTTGTGTTTTTCCTTGACTCATACTCCAGCACATTTTTTCAGGTTCGAGATACAAGACTTGCACGTGACGGAGACACTCTCGCATGTGGTTACACTCTCAGAGGCATATCTACAGATCTATGAGCAACAGCAACAGTAATATTGCCTTTAGGCTTTTCGAACTCTAATCAAATGTACTTTTGAATGCTGGCAGAGGTTTATATACATTCTGAAATCTGAAGGTAGGTCCCTATGTAAACTTAATTACTCTTTTTGTATCTGTGTCATTGTATAATCCATCATTCTTTTCTTTTTGTCCGTCCAAAATTATTTCATTTTCCTTTGAAAGAAAGTATTGTGTTTATTATTGTTTCTTTCTATCTCTACATAAATCTTGACTACGTGGTTTCAGTTTTCTTGAAAAGTGAAAACCATGCAAAACAAGGCATGATTATTCAACTTAAATAATCTATACGCATAAATATCTTAAAAAATTTAAATGTCAAGGAAAAAAGAATTATGAAAATAACAAGAATAGACATTCGAATATAATTAAATAAACATACTCCATTCATCCCACTTAAAAGGTTGTCATACAATCTAGATATTCGACTGACTATAAAATTAAGAAATAATGACAAATATCTAATTGAAACGAAAGTAATGGACACAAATATGACTTAATGACTATAATAGTAACTTTATTGACCATGATAGTGTTCAATTTTGCATCATAGTGACTACACATATTAGTCGTAGTTATATTTTTATCCATAACTTATATTTTAGTAACATTTAAGGAAAACTCCCTAAAATTAACGGATTCTTGTCAATAATAAGATTATTTTTTGTCATGCTCCGGACGTAACCGGACATGTCAACAATCCGTCGTACGGTAAGAATAGTCAACCTCAAACCTCAGTCAAACATATCCATACTATACTAGGTGTCATGAATATCATTCACACAAAGTACATCTATAAACAAACATAATGTAAAATATTCATTTAAAGCAGCGGAAACAATATTATAAGTGTTCAAGTCACACCTGGCGAAGTTAGGCATACAAGCCCCAAATAGTTTATCAGAAAATATTATCCATGAGCATTATTGTAATAGTTTTGTAATCAGAAACAGAGGAAGCACGAACCACGTCTTCTCTCCAAGAATTCCCGAAGCAACGGGCACAAGAAGCAAGCACTAGCTTCTACCTGAAAACTGTGAGGTGGCCTCCCCCGTGAAGGGGATGTTAGTACTTTGAAGCATTTAAAAAGTACAATGACAACTATATTGCATATAATTAATGTTTCAATCCTTAAGACCCTCAACATAAGGTGATATCATATTCTAGGAAATAACCCATAGTTACCCCTTTCAAATCTCACACACACACACACACACACACACACACACACACACACACACACACACACACACACACACACACACACATATATATATATATATATATATATATATATATATATATATATATATATATATATATATATATATATATATATATATATATATATATATATATATATATATATATATATATATATATATATATATATAGCCAAATAGTCAGCTCAAAGTAGGGGTGGACCGGTTCGGGCCCGGCCAGGCCTCGGTTCATGAAGGGGAGGCCCGGAACCGGTCCGGGTAACCCCCGGGTCCGGGCCGGGCCGGACCTCGGTTCTATTTTTTTTTTGGATTTTCCTAGTTAACCCCCAACCCTCCCCCTCACCCCCAAACCAACCCTAACCACCTCAAATGGCCCAAAATACCCAGCCCAATCCAAAAACTTAAAAAAAATTCAAAAAAACATTAATAAATTGGCCCGGCCCGGGCCCGAACCGGCTGGGCCGGTTCGCCTTTTGAAGGGCCCGAGCCCGAACCGCCATCCCACCGGGCCGGGTGGCCCGAACCGGGCAACCAACCGGTTCACCGGGCCGGTCCGGGCCCGCACAGTAGCGGGCCGATCCGGGCCCGCACAGTAGCGGGCCGGTCCGGTTCTGGGCCGATTGGCCCGGCTCGAGTCCACTCCTAGCTCAAAGGTCCTTTTGTATTTGTCACAAACCCTTTATATCGTCCAACGATAATTTATTGTCCCATTTGTATTTAAAAATACGATTCGTATCATCGTGTGATAATTCATTACATTAATAATTCACACAATTCAACCCAATGGTCACATCAATCATACAGGACACGTCTCCGCTACCCAAGTTCCCGTTAGGAATGGACTCGGGTCAGGCCAACCGGCCCGGAACCGGACCGGCCCGCTACTGTCTCGGCCCAGACCGGCCCGATGAACCGGTTGGTTGCCCGGTTCGGGCCACCCGGCCCGGTGGGATGGCGGTTCGGGCTCGGGCCCTTCAAAAGGTGAACCGGCCCGGCCGGTTCGGGCCCAGGCTAGGCCGATTTATTTTATTTTTTTTTTGAATTTTTTTTAAGTTTTTGGGTTGGGTTGGGTATTTTGGGACATTTGAGGTGGTTAGGGTTGGTTTGGGGGTGAGGGGGAGGGTTGGGGGTTAACTAGGAAAAGCCAAAAAAAAAAAAGAACCGAGGCCCGACCTGGACTCGGGGGTTAACCGGGCCGGTTCCGGGCCTCCCCCTTCATGAACCCCGGTCGGGCCCGAACCGGAACCGGTCCATCCCTAGTTCCCATAGGACACTCAGTCAGAGTCCATCATCCTGCCCTGGACTCATACCTTGTTCCCGTAGGAAGGTAAGGCCCATTCGGGGTCCTATCTTATGTGTTACCGCTACCAGAGCCTCGTTAGGTCTCTGACTCGGATTCCACCCTTATACGTGATCACGCCGTAAGTCCATGCTATCCAACACGCTCTCTAGAGTCGGGTAGGGTCATGGTCCTTACATCTATTCTATTATGAGCCCATGCAGTCCGACACGGTCCTTAGACTCGTCCGGTCCATGTCTCCCACCTATCCATTAGCAAGTCCATGTGGTCGAGCATCTATCCTTAGACTAGAGTCGAGCCATGACCCTTGCTACCAATCAAACAATCAATTACGGGTGCCCTAAAGACCACCCGGAAAATAACATCAACAATCCAATCCTAGGATCAATATACCATTTAAATCATCTAAGGCTATCCCAAGTGAATACCCTAGTCACAAGGCTTCACGATCCTAAACATAGGATCAATTTTATTAAGGTTCATGCTACAACCTCGGGCTAGTCACTTAGTACTACCCGAGTTGTTCTTAGTTCAACTTGTCTTTCCCTTTTCAAACGAACATGGCGGCCATGTCATGACTCGTTCTCACTTCATCCTATATTGACTTTACTAACCATAAAGTCAATACAATTAAATAGTGATTAATAAATCATTTCATTAGTTTTTCACTAAATAATCTAGAATAACATCTCAATTATAGCAAGTAATCATGCTCCAATTACTCATAGTTCAATCAATCATGCATCAACTCTTCATATACAACAATATGATCAATTGACACTTTATTAGACATATTGATTAATTAAAATCATGCTTTTATAAATTAGGTAATCTCATGAATTAACCCACTAGTTATAAACGATATAGTCAACCATCCTCACCTTATGATGTGCTTAACTAGCTGCCTTTGTGAAGCCCTTTGGTTATCCCCGTTCTGAACCATTAAAAAATGAACCAACTGGGCAGAAGGCAAAAGCCGGGCGGCTTTTGCAAAAGCTGGGCGGCTTTCGGGCCCTGTAGCACGAAAACAACACCCTTCTATGGCGGTTTGCATCGGTTTCAACTCCTATCGATTCAACGACTCTTCTAAGTTAAATACCAACACTTTATAACCTTTTTCTAGACTTATAAACGTGTAGAACAACATCTATAATTCATCAAATGAATCAAATGAATCCATATATACAAAGTATATAAAATGGAAGAAATGGAACCGGGAGTATAGAGTTGTTACCGCTAGTTCACGTTCTTCTCCTCCGTAATCCCTTCCTTTCTTCTCCTCTTGCTCCTAGCTTGTATGAGGTTTTCTTGTTGACCTCTCCCCCTCTCTTGTTCACGATTGGGAGTCTCCAGATGAGAGGAGAGGAGCCTTCCTATTCTTATCCTTTCTAATAATAGGAAGTTGGGCTTCGGGTCACTTGGACTGCCCATTCCATATTAATTCAGCCCACCCGAGTTTTATACCATGATTTATATTATATTGGGCTATTGAATATTACTCCCTCCATCCCTCTATTATTGTCCCATTTCATATTCACTTAGTCAACACAAATCACTCTTAATCTCTTACTTTGTTTATCAAATTTTTATCAAATTTGATTCTGGTTTTTGCGACTTTGTAAAACTTTTAATGTAGTTTCTGAATATGCAAAAAAAAAATCTAAAAATAATTCTAGTGCGGACAGGGATCTATTTGCTTTATCGTCAGTCAAGCATCGTAAACCGCAATGGGACAATAACAGGGGGACAGAGGTAGTGATAGGTTAGGACCCAAAATATATTGGTTAGTCCTCCCCAATAGTCTGGGACCGATACCCACTATATTTCTATTATTAGTAAGTTCAACCCCAATCACTTATTGGGTTACTTCTTCCCTATTATTTTGCTCCATATCTTTATATATTAATCCTTCCATTATTATTGGCTCATATCTTTATATATTAATCCTTCCATTATTATTGGCCCATTAAATAAACAATATGGTTCAAGAACATATTAGTTAGTCTCTTCCCATATTTCGGGGTTGATACACGATTTAATTAATCACTATTAATTAAATCAATTAATCATTTCTCATGTGATTAATATAGCTAGTGACTTGTTTCAAAATGAATATTACACTCATTAACTTTACCAACCATTATTGCTTTGGTTAGTATTTATAGTTTTAATTAAGTTTTAATTTTAATGGATAAATAATCCAAGTTGAATCGGGAGCGGTGTCACATTTTTAGTAAATAAAAGTTACACATTTAGAAACTACATTACAAGTTTTATAAAATTACAAAAATTCAAATTTGATAAAAGTTGAATACATAGAGAAATGAAATGAAAAGCGATAATTAATTGAGGGTATTTTCGGAAGAAAATTAAATCATCCTCGGGAATGTCAGATAACCTAAGGCATTGAAGGGTATAACATTCCCCTCCATATTACATTCCCGGGAATGTAACTTTCCCGATCTTTTCTCAAAACTGTAAACCAAACATGAGTATCTAACATTTCAGGCATCACATTCCGGCCTCGATGTGAGATAACTCCAAACCAAAGTAACTACAAAAAAGTGAATTCACTATGCTCCTACCTCTTTACAATTTCACAATTCACTATAAAAATTAGAATCTATGTATTCAAGACTGAATGAATTGAAATCACTTCGTAATTCTGGAATCTAGCTT